GGTGTGAACTGTACTCTCAGGCTCAGCTGTGAGCACTTCCCTGTGGTGTGAACTGTACTCTCAGACCCAGCTGTGAGCACTTCCCTGTGGTGTGAACTGTAAACTGTGTTTTCACATGGTCCTCGGTGACCCCTGTGAAAGGGTCATTCGACCCCCAAAGGGGTCGCGAGCACACAGGTTGAGAACTGCTTATCTAGAAGAACTGATAGCATAAGCCTTAAAAGCTTCAATCAAGGGTGTCTTGTGCATGAGCACACTCCAGCTGGCGTGCTAAAGGACCCTGCCTTCTCCCAACACCCACCAACAACAATGGTGACATGCTTCTTCCTCTTCTGCAGGAAGTACTGCAGGAACTGAGCGGTGCAGGACAGCGACAGGTCCTTAAAGGCATAGGTGACCCCATGCCACAGCTCCAGTATATTCAGCCCATTCCTCAGTCTGCGCAGATGGACCACATCTCTGTGGCGGAATCTGCTGAAGGCTTGGTCAATCAGATCTGTGAGGGTAGAGATTGGACAGCAGGTAAAGGTATTAGCCCTTCAAGTTCTCTTTCTGCCTCTTTAAAGTGTTTGTTTACCATTGCCAGCTAAAAAGTCCAGAAAATCTGATTTTAAATGACATATGTAGGAACAAAATTGTATAGATCTAGAAAAATCTGGGGGGACATGTATTAAACTGCTCATACATTCCTCTTTAGAATTCCCCAAAGACTAGAACTGGCTTTAGAAAATGACTTGTTTTTATTTTTGTATACTTCTTCATTGGGTCTTTTTATTTTATTTTTATTTATCTTATGTGAATGGGTGTTTTGGCTGCATGTATGTATATGTACCATGTGTGTGCAGTGCCTGAAGAGGCCAGAAGAGGGAGTCAGATTCCCCTGGAGCTAGAGTTACAGATGGTTACGAGTCACCATGTGGAATCTGGGAACTGAATCCAGGTCCCCTGGAAAAGCAGCCAATGTTCTTAACTATTGAAATGTCTCTCCAGCTCATTTGAGTCTTTTTATAAGTACATATTTCAATAGAAGATCAAATCATGGATCAAATAAGTCAGTTTCAGCCTCTTAATTTTCTTCCCTAAAGATGGAAGTTTTGTTAGTCTAATTTTGTAATACTAAATCTCACATCTGTGGTGCCTGGACCTGGGCATGGCTGATATACATACAAACTTAGCCACAGTTTAGAACCTAGCTTCTTGAACTTCTGTTGTGCACCACACCTAGGATCTTATGAAAATGTGGAGTCTGGGTCAATAGGTCTGATCTGACTTTGAAATGTCTACCCACTGCCTAGGTAACGCCATCACTGCTGGTCACCGGAACACTGTAGTCCTTTCTCCTCCTCAACTATAAAACCTACCATTACCGTGCAGTTTGGTTTTTGTCAACTTGATACAAACCTAGACACACCTGGGAAGAGAATGTCAGCTGTGGTACTGCCTCCATAAAATTGGCCTGCAGGCAAATCGGTGGGAATTTTCCTGTTTAATGACTGATGTGGGAGGAGCCCAGCTCCCTGGGGGTGGTGTTACCCCTGGTCAGGTGGTTCAGGGTGTATAAGAAGGAAGGATAAGCAAGCCATGAGGCTCAAGCCAGTAAGCAGTGTTCCCCCATGTCTTCTGCTTCAGTTCCTACCTCCAGGTTCCTGCCTTGAGTTCCTGCCCATGACTTCCCTCAGTAATAGAGCATGACCTGAGAGTTACATGCTGAAAGAAACCTTTTCCTCCCCAAATTGCTTTGGTCATGGTGTTTAATCACAGCAACAGAAAATATTGACTAAAAATACTACCCTATGGATTTTCTTCTTGTCACTCAAAATGTCGCCTGAGAACCAACAGCTGTAGTCCTAAATAGGCACTTAATAGAAGGGCAGGATTCTTATACCCACCCTGTGGTTTTCAAATGAGAATGTCTCCCATAGACTCATGTGTTTGAATGCTTGGTCCTCAGTTGGTGGAACTGTTTGGGAAGGATTAGGAGGTGTGGCCTCGTTGGAGGAAGTATGTCACTGGGATGGACTGGGTGGACTTGGAGGTTTCAAAAGCTCATACCATTCCCAGTTAGCTCTCTCTGCCTTATGCTTGTAGATCAAGATGTAAGTTCTCAGCTACTGCTTCAGTGCTATGACTGCAGTCATGCTCCCTACAATGATGGTCATGGACTCTAACCATCCCAAAGTGTAAGTCCCAGATAAACTCTTTTCCCTAAGTTGTCTTGATCATGGTGACTTACCACAGCATAGAAAAATAACTAAGACACACACACACACACACACACACACACCCCTACTGAATTAGAGTCTGCTTTTAAATTGATATCCTTGAGGAAAATTAATTACACTTTACAGCTTGAGACAACCTGTCCCAGGACCTCAACAAGACAAAAATAGTAATCTAGGTGTCCAGATGAATGAGAGAAACATTCATCAACACTCAAGAATTCTGGACGACTTAAAAATCCTTATAATTTTGATGTATTTTTTAAAAATAATAATCAATTTTCAGTGGTGCATTTTGTCATTCATCTTGCTGGAGGCAGAACAGAGGAATGAGGAGTCCTGGATAGTCTAATTGTGAAATTCTAGAATCAGGGGGAAAAAGTTTGCAAGGTTTGAGAAAGGCACCTGGGGATTTTCCAGCGGTTGGGTGATGAGTATAACTCAGGGAAGAGGTGTGCAATGCTGATCTGGGGCGGGGGTGCTGCAGGGGGGCTCCTCACCATTTAGGTCATGTCTTGGGATGAGCTCCAGGCCAATGAAGAGGGCACACAGCTCCTTCAGCAGGCTGCGATAGGAAAGCGTGCTCCAGTGGCGCAGGGTCTCTCTGTCCAGCTGTGGGAACTCCTCTGGCACATAGAGACCCCCATCGGGTGCATAGCCAGAGAAGAGGGCCCCCTCAAAGTTGACCCGTGGGGCCATTCCCCGGGTGCTAGTGTACCACATGATCTGGAAAGCCTGCAAAGAAAGAGTCCCAGAGGCAGCTGATCTTCGGAGCTCCCTGCACCCCACAGGGTGAAGCTGAGTATCCACAGTCCTCTGATGTAACCTCTGAGCCCCCACTCACTGGAATATGTATCTCAGGCATGGCTATGACAGCCCTAATTCGAATCTCATCTCAGCTTTGCCAAGTCTTGTGTAAATTATGATCCTTCTGATCAAAACAGGGAATTCCACTGAGCGCACTACCTTGAGGCATAGGTACTAGAGCATGCTAGGAAAAGAGAATCATAGCCCTTCCCAGTGGCCAAGAAAACCTTGGCGTGGAGAAAGATCATAGCAACAGCAGCTCGCTGCCATGTTTGACAGGCTTCTGAGCAGGGAAAAGACCAGAAGATCTGATTGGCAAATGCTGGTGTGGACGTGGGGAAAGGGGGATGTTCATTCACTGCTGGTGGGAGTGCAAATCTGTGCAGCCACTGTAGAAATTGGTGTGGTGATTCCTCAAAAAGCTAGAAATGGATCTACCATATGGTCCAGATATACCACTCCTGGACACATTCCCAAAGGATTCTACATCCCATTACAAAGCCATCCATGATCATTGTTGTTCTATTCACAACAGCCAGGAGATAGAAACAGCCTAGATGAATGGGTAATTGGGAGTCAGAATCCTTCAAGGATGCAGGCTCTGAGAGGCCACCCATGCTCCAGTAGATGGTCCCACACCCATGGACTAAATGGACTCGGTGGGAATTTTTGTTTACTTATTTGTTTGTTTGTTTTTTAAGAGAGAGAGAGAGAGAGAGCACATGAAGTTGGGAGGGAAAAGTGGTGGGGAGGAACCAGAGAGGAAAGAATGGGGACAGATATTTGATCAAAACATAAGCATGTATGAGTACTAAATAAAATACTTATTTTTTTTAAACTGCAAGTCCTATATCCCAGGAAACCCTCAGTCCCAGGCAAATCAGGATGGTTGGGCATTATTACCAATAACCTGTGGCCTACCTTGGAGCCTAATTCTAGAAGGCTAGTAGCAGAGTTTACGTACTCCCTTTGAACCTCTCTAGCCATGGCTAATTGACTCTGGCTCCTGGTATGGATTCAGGGCCTTACAGTCCTTAGAATGAGACAGAGATCACAGCAGAATTTAGGGGTTTCAATGTTAAGGCCCCACAGTAACTAGGGGGGTCATTTGACCATGCATAACTCTCAATATCACTTAGGTGTTTCTCTACCCTGCCCACAGAATTCTGTTTTCCTTTTCCTTCCCCTCGGCCTCTGCCTGGCCCTGGAGACGGACCCCGGGCTTTCTGCAATTGCTCTGCCATTGAGCTCCACTTCTAGTCCTGAAGTCAAGGGTCTCTGACACCCATGGGTCCACCCTGAGTTCTACATGAGCTGCCATGCGCCAGCCACTCTTGCTGCCTACAAATGCATGTACGTTCACTTTAGGGACAGGGGTGTGCTAAATTACCAAGCAGGCACGTCCGAACTTTCGCCATCGCAACATGACTTTGCTATCTACAAAGTTCAAGCCTCAGAATGGTGACGGCAAGTTACAAGAGTAAGCGAATAAATGAAATCACGTAATGTTTTAAAATCACAGTTTCGTTTTGGGACTCATTCATAGCTATCCTCAGTCGTGTGCATTAGCCGTGCCTGAAACCAAGAATATTATTAAATAGAACCGGGGTGGATACCGTCACGCTGGGACAATGGGTACAAGCGGAAATGACTTTAGGAATCGGGGATTTACAGTCACCCCACACAGGAGTCCATGACAAAGAACAAAATCAAGGCAACCCAAAAGCCCAAAGCAGTGGATAACCAACGCGGGCACAGCATCTCAGAAGGCAGAAGCAGGGTCAGGAGGCCAGAGGCTCAGCAGTACCTTCAGTAACGACGGGAAATGCCGAAATGCTGTGGACAGGGTTAGCACCTATGCAAACTGGCCTGAAATCCTCGCTGCATAACTTGATCGGACCGGACTAACGGAAATGCTACAAGCGAGTACTACCCCAAACCCCAACCAAACCTGCTGCTGCAGGTGCTGGACAGGACCAGAAGCAGGTCGGACTACAAGGAACAGCTAAAAGGATCATTTCCCCAAAGCCCCATTCTCAGTGGAATGGACCCTAGGGTACCCAGGCACGGAGGTGCGCTCCAGATTCTGGAACTCGAGAAAAGACATGAACAAGGAACAGAGTGAGGGCCTGGCTTGAACTCAGCTCGTGTCAGTGAATTCTCTATGAGCAATAAGAAGCTGACCCGGTTAGCACAGAGGCCCAAGCTCCTTACGCGAGCGCGCGCGCGCGCGCGTGTGTGTGTGTGTGTGTGTGTGTGTGTGTGTGTGTGTAAGGGCTGTGTCGGTTCTGACCAATCACGTCAAGGGACAGCCTTCCCAGCCTAACAACTACAAGAAACACACCTGATGGTTCCAAAAAAACAAAAACAAAATCAGCTGCACTTTCGTTAGCCGGTTGTATGAGGATTCCGGACTCAGACCTCCGCAGTACATTACTGTGATAATTACTTCTTGAGCTTTTCTGGGTTTTATTCCAGAATGGAGACAGGGCAATAAGCACCATAAATAATAACAACAGTGATATCAGCCTTTGGGCCGGGATTCCGCGTCTGGGATGTTTCAGAAACTCAGCAGATGGCTACCCTGGGGTTGGAGTTTAAGGCAGGGCCTGGGCCTGGGAGCGGGGTCTAGAGCCGCGGGCGAGTTCGCAGAGGCCTCTGAACACAGCTCACAGCCCTGGGTTTTCGGGGTTCTCCCCGCACTGCCGAACCCCGGCTGCAGGTGGGACAATCTCCCTCCCGCCGCCCCGCGCACGACCCGCTGCCATCCCAAAGCCCCGTTAAGACGCCGGCCGGCAAACCAAGCTGAGCTGCCGTGGCTAGGACAGCAGCCAGGACTCAGACACGTCACCGCGGAGAGCGCGGGGGACGTTACCGTGGGGGCGCCGAGCTGCCTGGCTACCCGGGTCCAGTGGGCGACACGCGCGGCCCTGCTGTCCCGGAGCCCGAGGTTCCGAGAGAGTTTGAGAGCAAGGTTGGGGAGGAGCTCCTCCCCAGGGCGGAGGGGGGGGGGATGTGGAGGAGGGACGTGGAGGGGGGGTGGAAGAAGGGGGCGTGGAGGAGGGGTGAGCTTCTTCCCTTGGTGCTCTCAGGCCCCGGGGACTTTCTTTTACTCAAGATCTTCGCTGCGACTTAGAATAAAAGCTGGTAAAGTTATGCTTTGTGTTTATTTTTATTGTTTACTTATTTATTTTGACAGAGAGCCTCTCTCTATAGCTCTGGCCTCCTGGAATTTTCTATGTCCCCATTCTCTGCCCTCCCCCCCCAATGCTGAGATTAAAAGCTTTGTTTTTTGTTTTTAGATGAGAAAACAGAGGGCAATGTGGGAAGAGGGAAGGCCCTTCTGGCCATTGGCTTCCATGGCTCTGGCCTGTGCTAAAATCCACTAGATCGATTTAGCTTAAAAAACAAATCTTACTCTTCTTCTCCACGCACGTGTCTCTCCCACAGGCCTGAGCACTCTGTCCCTTTAACTCTAATAAACTCTATAAGAGGGAAAAAAAAATCTTAATAGGGTAATACTTTTCATCAGACATAACTCTAGTCTAGGATAAAATCTGACTCAGTCTGTTCCTTTCCCCTTCCTTTTCTCTACCCCCGACCCGCTTCATGGAACTCGATCACCTTGAAGTCCTGATCTTTGGACTCCGTTTCCTGAATGCTGAGATCAGAGGATCTGTTGCATCAACCCCTTATGCAGGGAAATCAACCAGAACTCGGGGCGCACTAGGCGAGCACTTTGCCAATCGAGCTGCAGTCCCAGCCTCCACTTTATTTTTCAGAGTGGAAAAAAGCAAGAACTTGGGAAAATTTTTCTACAAATATGCCCCAATGTCCCTGGATTCACATTAACACTCCTGAGTAAGCGTCTGTTTGAAGAGACAGGTACAGACTGAGATTTATTTACTCTGGGCTTGGCCTGGTCCTTGCCCCAGCTGGGTCTCAAGGAGATTCTGGGACTTGTAAAGCATGGACACGCCCCCCTGGTGTTGGCCTATCTCATTCTTCCTCCTGGGGTCTCTGTTTCCTCAAGCTGCCTGCTGTGGAAGCTTCCAGCACACATGCTTGTCCTCCACAGCCTCAGATGGTCTCACCCAGCTGCTACTGACTAGACTGGGTGGGTCTCAGATTCTCCTGAGTAGCAGGCACTAAGAGACTGCCCCTGCTCAGGGTATGGGATAGGTCTTCCAAACACAAGATGAGGCCAGAGGCTTGTCATGGAGCTGACACAGGGGTCAGAGGGGCCAGCCTACTGAGAGGTATAGGTCAGTCATGGACCTCCTCCAAAGTGTGTCTGTGCTTCCCATGAGGTGCATTTAATCATCCAGAGGCCAGGGAAACTGGGACTCAGGAAATGCCATAAAAGTCAGCATCGTTTGTTACAGTGTTCCCAAAGTAGTCTTCATAAGCATCCAAGGACAGCAATGACATCCACAGGGCTCTTCCAGCAGGCCGTCTGCCTCGCTGGTCAGGCCTACAGGAAAGCACCACCCTGGGGCCAGAGGGCAGCCAGAATATTCTGTGAAGCCTACTTTGACTGCTCACCAGGGAGAGGACGATGGCTGGAGGGACGTCTGAGTTAATCATTAGGAGCTGTGCCTGGGGTGTTCAGCACAGGAGCCCCGAAGGCCCAGGAGGAAAGCTGAACTCAGAGCAGTCAGCACAGTAGAACTGTGGAGTTCATTTCTAGTTTGGACGCACATACAAGTTTCTTCCATCTTCTTAACAGTCTTCTATTTTAATATATATATATATATATATATGGATTTTAAAGCTATACAGCAATTAGTTCTATCAAATAATCAGACTGGAGCTGGAGAGATGAGTTAGCTGTTCAAAGCATTGGCTGCTCTTCTGGAGTTCAGTTCCCACTACCCCCGTGGCAGCATGTGGAGGAAATGACCTGACTCAGTCTTTTGACTTTCACG